AAAAATTGAGCCGGGGGGAGGGCCTAAGAAAAATATTTTAATTTGGGGAGGCCTAGGTAAAAAATTTTTCCAAGATCCCTTTAACTCTACAACGTTTTTATACACTTTCAAAACATGATTAAACGTCTGTCCCATACATATCGTAGCGATTTGCCAGTCATTGGAATCGGCAGAATTTTACGTTCCAATAATATCCATCCCTATTATTATAATGTATTCGCCCAAATACCCCACAGTCCCCTTCAAAATCTTGCATTTTCGCCAGAATCGGTGAAACTGGACTACACAGCCAAATTACACGGATTAAAATCGCGTCAATCGAAACGATACCGATCAAAAATGTAGGGAAGGCTTGTCTGAAGATTTTGAAAATTAATTTTCGCCGTTCAACGCACCCTTCCCAGTGGTGTGCGTGCGTGCGTCGGCAAAGGTCCTGCTGGTCCCGCCTCGCAACTCGCTCGAACTTCTCGGCGTGGATGTCGGATGTCGACGGATTAATTTGGTATTTTTCTTAAACCAAGGACTATTTTAACATTTATATCTATGTCCCTCCAAAGTTAATTGCAAACAACACGTAACTTGACAATATTGTTTCCCTGTTTGTAATAAAATTGACGCGGAAGAAGTTCGTGGACGAAAGGTAGGCTATATAGAGGATTATTTCGATTACACTGACAGTGACCTTAACGTTACTCGATGTACCAGCGAAATTTGTGCTGCCAAATTTGCCCCTCAACATTCAAAACATGGGTTGAAATTCAAAATTTTTCCGGGGGGGCCGCCCCCCCCCCAAAAAAGCCGGGCTACTCGGGTTCTAGTGGCGCCTGCGGCGCGATGGCTCGCGCCTTCGGCGCTTCATGCGGCGAAAATTTTCAATCAAAATCTCGTCCTCCCCATACGAAATTTCACTCTCTATGATTCACGTCGGGGGGAGGGCCTAGGAAAATTTTTTTGAGCCGGGGGGAGGGCCTAGGAAAAATTTTTTTGACCTGGGGGGAGGGCCTAGGAAAAATTTTTTTACGCTACCCCCGGGCGACCGGCCCCCTCTCCCCGGTAAATATCGTACAGTCCCTTATCGCAACATGTTTTTTTTTCCGTTTTTCAGAAACAGGAAGTAGTAAGCTATTTCAGCATATAAGCCGTTAGCCTGGGAAAATTATTTTTTTCCAAGCAGGTCCGTTGAAAAATAGGCTGCAAAAAAACTATATTTTTCGTATCCAAAATTTACGTTTAACTACAGTTTCTACCCAAATTACAGAGTCGACGGACAATAACCAAAATTGTATCGGAAGCCGGCCGGAAACTTCCGTTGACTGATGTAATAAGAGTTCCCGGCGTATTTTTTTTTGCGGAGTTGTAGCCCTTCGGTCTGAGGGTGTCCGCCGGATCCAAAATCGTGAAAAAAAACTCCGGTCCGAGACGTTACACCACAGGGGTTTGACACCTGAATCTTCCCCTTCCGGGACAGAAAGCTTACTTAGGGGGGGGTGGGGTGTTAAAATAGCGTAATTCGGTGAGTCGGAGACTACAAAAGGCGCCCTTAAATAATAGATAACCATCTATTCCTGTTTTATTGTGTTCAAAAAAGGTCTACCTGCATTTGGAAATTGTGATAACTTTAATGATATGATATGATATGATATGATATGAATCTTTATTGCATGTTCTTGCCCAGATTGGCTAAATGCACAAGAGGACATGCAGTATAGAAAACATGAGTATTGCATACTGGGACGCTATATTCTAATGCTAATTGCTAGGAATCTATACATTATAGCAATACTATATACTACCTATCATCTACTGTTAGTTGCCCTTTCTTCTCTCTTTTTGAAACACTTAGAAACATAATTACATAGTTTGTCTGCTATACATTCGTTCTTTTAATACACAGCATGTATAGGGAAAGGTTGAGGTTGTTTCTGCTTTTGTTGTGGTTGTTCTCTATATACTGAGTATACAGCCATCAACAGCCTTTCGGTTGACCTATTTTAAGTAACATTAATCCGCACCCACAACAATTGGAGGTCGCACTCGTGCACGGGTCAGCTAACCTGTTAACAACCGGGCGAATGAAATATTTCACGGGTAAAAGAAGGTTACGATGACTTCCTAACGTCGCCTTTTTGTTAGTCCTTTTACTTCCGTTATCGTCACCAGTTGTCTTAGTTTGGTCTTCCTATCCTTACCTTCTACGTATATACCGGGCCAAGGGTTACCAACAGTCGATTAAATACTACGCAGAATATCTAAGCTAGAGACCTCCCCCTATTTCAGGTGGACTCGACCTAACTGAGAAGCTGCGTCACAGATTGACCTACATTCGACAGAACATGTTTGAAGACCTGCCTGGACAGGACATGTTGTATTTGATTCCCGATTTTTATTAGTCCATAATCGTTTGAAGTTGTAAACTGGTTGACCTGAACACGTTAGAGACTGTGTTTAACTCGAGTACTGCGTGGAAATACTACCAAAACACGGCGAAGGAAGGAGCTACGCGAAACTCTTTCCCATTCAACTATGATTGCGGGTGTGGGTGGCGGCGGCCGTGTTATATATCGTTCTAACAATTGCTGTGACCCGGTAGGTCGAGCTCTGGCAAAATGTCTGGCTCCTATGATCGTCGGCACGGTCTTCTTCCTTCAGGGCTGTGTCTTTACCATTGTGGGGTTCAGTCTTGGTGATAAACTACCGCCGTTCAAGGTGATCGGACCCACGTTTCTGTGCCTGGGTATTGTACTCCTCCTCTTGGCGTGCTTCTGTTGTAAAAAGGCCCGGGACGCCTTCAACCAGCAGGGCGGGCACTCGGTACAGGTGGTGACTTCCTCCACAGCCCCCCAGGCGCCGGGACAGACCGTGGTGACCGGCGCGCCCGGCGTACATGTAGGTCATGCCGCTCCCACTGTGACGTCGGGGACATCTCCAGAACAGTACCCCGGACCATATCCCGCAAGGTAACCCTAATATTCTAGCCGTGACTGACTATTGTTTGTAGTCGTCTGTTAAGCCATGGTCACAACCCGCCGTACGTGCTTTTTGTCCGTACGTTTTTTTGGAGGACACGTCTGCTACGTTTTTCTGAAAACGTGCGTTGTACACTCATTGGCTGTACAGGGCACGCACGTCGCACGTACGGGTGGTGAATCCGCAGACCGAACGCATGAAAAGTTTTGCATGCACTTAAAGTTCTACGGCGTGTCTGCGTGCTCCCGAATCCGTAGGCTTCCGTACGGAGGTGGTACTCACCACGCACGGATGCCCTACGTTTTCCCACGTTTTTGCACGTAGACAGCACGCAGAAGCACGTACGGCGGGTTGTGGCCAAGGCTTTACTCTTCAAGTTGGGAAGATTGTGACCGGTTCCGATTTCTCTGTCTTTCCACAGCGGGCACAACAGAAAGCGGGGCAAATCAAGGAGGCAATCATAATCTTCCGAGTCAACTTCTGCTAAAGCTTCGGTCCCAATTGCGCCGATGCCCGTCGGGGATGTAGCCCCGGTCAGTCTCGGTCGGGCTCTGGAGCCTGGCGGGCACCGGTTGTTGTAGTCACAATTAAATTTTTCCTTCAGTGGCATTTTGTCACCCTTATTGGTCGGTCTCCGACAGGCACCCGGCAGGTACCCGGCAGCTTCTCTGACGATGTCTTGTACTGACCCACTTAATACAGAGTTCACGCTTTTGTTGTGATCATCTGATCTGTGACGTCACAATTTGACACGGTCGTACGAAGTACACACCCTTATTGTGTGTATCTGGTCTGTGACGTATCAAAATTAGTCCCGGTGGACTGCCGGTAACCGGAGGGATACCTGTCGGTGTTCTCACGATGAGGTCACGGCGTCTTTTTGTCAGCGGGGCCCGGGTAGAATTTAAGTCAGAATTAAATTTAAAAAAAATAGCCCAGTCGCCGCGGGGTGTCCCACCAGGCCACGTAGCGGTCACGCCCGAAAGTGCAAAAAAAAAACAGCTCGGGGACTACCCGGCAGGGCCCCTTTCTCCACTTGGGATCAAAGCTTTAGAGGAGACTTACTTAGACCTAAATTCATCTTAACCGAAATTTACTGGCATCAATGTCACATATGTATATTATCTCTATGTTCTTTGCCACTCCTAGCGGCGGGCACCTGACCACGGCCTCAGGGACAACCGATCACCAGTCGTCGGACCACGCCTACCAACCGTCGCACATCGGTATTGCTCCGCCGCCTTCTTACCATGAAGCCACCGGTGGAAAGCCATAATGGACTTACTTAAGCCTCGGTCACAACCCACCGTACGTGCTTCTGCGTGCTGTCTACGTGCAAAAACGTGGGCAAACGTAGGGGATCCGTGCGTGGCGAGTACCACCTCCGTACGGAATCCTACGGATTTGGGAGCACGCAGACGCGCCGTGCAACTTTAAGTGCATGTACTTTTCATGCGTGCGGTCTACGGATTCACCACCCGTACGTGCAACGTGCGTGCCCTGTACAGCCTATGAGCGTACAACGCACGTTTTCAGAAAAACGTAGCAGACGTGGCCTCCAAAAAAAACGTACGGACAAAAAGCACGTACGGCGGGTTGTGACCGAGGCTTTATCCCTGACAATAGCTTCCAAAATCAAAGACACAACCAGAGCTAGCAAGGAAAACAAACAATCACATGAAATGAAGGACAACATACAACTACAAAACAACAACAACAACAACAACAATCCGGGAAACAACAAATTTGGACAGCATAAATACGGAAGCAAACCTCCAAAATTAATATTTATGGGTTCACCACACCACGAAGTGGTGTGGTGAAACCATATTGCTTTTTCTGATGTTTCTTCTCCTTCTTCTCCTCCTTCTCCTGCCATTTTTTAAATGGATTCAGCTTCTTCATTTTAGGGCCTAAGGTCCTGAAATTTGGTATGGAGGTACAGTGGGCAAATACCCTTAGGCGTTTTTTAAATTATTGTGATACAGGCTTTTAGAATGGTTTTATTTGAGTTTTTTTGGCTGTGTTATAGCAAATGTATTACTGTGTTAGTTTGCCTTGTTTACCACGTTTGGGCATGAGTCATCACAATGGAATGCAGGGCATCAACCAATAGGCATGCAGCTTTCCTCTATACTTCTTGCTGATTGGCTGTTGGGATTTAACTTGATTAACACCTGCACAGAAGCATTTCCATACTGACAGTATGTCTGTATTCAAGTGTTTTGGTAGGTATTTCAAGCTTTCCTGCTCCAGCATTGGAATGCCGGGCATGGACGTTTTTTTTTTTATTTTGAAAATCAACAGTTTGCATTATGCAATTAAAAATCCTAACCAATAAAGTAGGGAATAGCTATCCAACTGTTGTTTTAGTTGTATTTTACTTCATATTATAGTTATATCAATGTAAATCATTGTTTTCCCTTGTGTTTCTCATTCTTTCCCTGCCATGTGGTAAAATGTGGTAAACCCATCGCTGTATTTGCTCCAAAGCAAATATTGGCCTTTCTAGTTTGAAATGATTTTGTCACGTCATTTTACCAAATTTATCAAATCTTAAATGTTCTCTTCGCTTCGAAATGAGGCATCCATGTCTTTTATACGGCCATTGCTCTGTACCCTTTCTTATATCATCACTTGTACAATGCTTGTCCCTTCTTTGTGAAGGATTGGTGTATACAGTTATGGAAATATATGCGTGTATCCTTAGCGGTACACAGTCCAGAAAAACTAGAAAAATCATAAATATGAAAATCAGATAAAAACGGGACTAAGGTATAGTGCAATGTAAAGCTGAACAATTAAATACTAGACATTTAACGATCTCTTCGTCTTCCCGTCTTGTTAAACAGTGCTGCACTAGAAAACCCAGTTTGTTTGTTTGTTTGTTTATTTAGGAATCTCCCATTAGTGATAATATATACATCACTATTCTTCCTGGAGTCCTTAACATAAAATACAACTATTATTTACAAACACATTTAACTGCTATTCAAGGACATTATACTACAGGAAAACTTATCAAAATAGTAAATTACACATTAAGCATCAATTATTACATCAATTAATAATATTACATTATACAGTTATCTATTAATAATATTACATTATACAGTTATCAATTAATAATATTACATTATACAGTTAGCCAATAAAACAATTATGTAATAGATGTCTGAGAGGTCAGTGGCACTGAATGGAGAATTCTCTCTTTGTTCTGTTCTCCGTGACCTCATTTCCCCTCTCCATGACCTCAGGTCAAAGTTGGCAGTCTGACCAAGTTCAAGGACACACTGCTGTATATATAGTTTGACTTTTATTTTGCTGGTTTGTGAACCAAAGGATGTGTGTGGTACGTAAGTTGGAGTACATATAAACACGTTACACGAGTAAGAAAATTTTCCAACAGTCAGAATGCTTGATTTGATTTGATTTGATTTATTGAAATTGCAACAGTGCAATACACGTGGGACACAGGCAGCTGTTGCTGGTGTTGTGTCCCGCACATAGAAACAAATACAGGTCAGACAATACTCAATTTTACTTGAGTTAAGTGGGGAAAGTCGTGTAAAGTGCCTTTCCCAAGGGCAGAAGATCGGTGGCATGTCAGGACTCGAACCCGGGACCTCTTGGTTCCGAGTCGAGCACTCTGCCGTTGCGCCACAAGATACACAATAATACTTGACGTCATTATCGTCCCTACTGGGTGTATATTTCGGGTTTGGAGTGCTGTGGGGTTTTCATGTTGGTGGTTTTATTGACTTCCATGCTACTGGAAAAAGTAGCTGTCCTTATTTAATTAGGGCAGAACGTTGAGCCGTGGTCTACTGTTTTTATGCTGCTCTTCGGGAACACACATGTATATATATTTAATTAAGGTTGTTGACTTCTGTCTCAGGGCATATATTATATGTCCTGAGACAGAAGTCAACCACCTTATAAACATTTGTTGCCATCCCCACTCCCCGGGACGACTGTGAACATCTGTTACTTCCAACGGAAAGTACCTTGAATCTACATTCAAAGCTAGCTAAATGTTATATGTTCCTAGCATAATATATCCGTCCTAGGACGAGCTCCACCGCCTCTGTTGGGACCACGTCGGCATTCGGCCGAGATACGCTGGGAGGGGGGCACCAGCAAGCAGGTCGTTGACTTCTGACATTAATAACACGCTACTTTGCGTGTTTTCATCAAACAACAATGAATGCAGTTTCGTAGAATCGTGATCAGGCACGGTTTGAAATTAATGTATGGCACGTGGACCAGATGTGAGGAATGCGAGTTACCTGAATCGCGGTTCGGGTGGTTTCATATGAACAAGGCCTAAATCTATTAGAACCAACCAAGCAAGCCACATTGCCATTGTTGATAAAGCGTACGTTCACCTCTGACCTCCTAAGACGGTTGGACAAAGCTGCAGAGCCCCTAGTGACTAAAACAACTGGCCCGTCCGATGACTTCCATTATTATATTACTCAGGCCATGTTGATTTGATTATATGGATGACATCCGCGCGCGCATGAATTTTCGGCCGTTTCCAAAAAAAAAAAGTTTTCAACCATACTGTAAATCGTACAAAACAGTTGCAAAATGAGCAAAAATATACCATAAGTTACAAAAAAAATTAATAAAAACTATACCAATGTCGTAGAAGGCCAAAATCAAACGAAAAAAGACGAAATTGTAAAGAAATGAACTTGAAGACTCGCCAAACCATATTCTGTGCCATTTGATCAACCCTCATGACCACGTAGATTTCGTAATGAAAAGAACTTTTTTTTTTTGCAAAACTTTTTTTTTATTCGCATGCGCGCATCAGTTTTGGGGCTCCTGGAGGATGTCATCCATATAATCAAATCAACATGGCCTCAGATTACTCGGGTAGATTACTCGGGTATCAGGTGCACAAACAGGCTACATACCGAGTGCCACGATCCCTGTTTACGCGAAGAGAAAAAAACATCAAAGGAAGCAGGTAAGGGTTTAAACGAACAGTTAGGTATTGTGATGCTATAAAACGTAAGAGTTTGGGGCTCATTTCTGTGGGTGAACGGCCAGAATGACGCGGTCACGCGTACGGATCCCAGTTTTAATATTATGTTCTGGATGGTGTGGAAAATATGACGGGTCTTGACTCATAAGGGGGGTGGTGGGTTGCACGAGGGGATCAGTACCAGAGGTATAAAGTAGCAGTACACAGTTTTCGTTCTATGGGGATTTCAATAGTTAAGGAGCCCAAATTGAGAAGATTCGACGCTGCAAAATTTACAGTAGGGTGTATAAGCAAGTTACAAAAATTCAATATGTTGAGGGTACACCCTACAAAATATTCTCAAGATTGTCGGCCCGTTTTCGCACATAAAAAAAGTCACTTTTATTTGCAATTTGCGGGGGTCATGTAAACCGCAGCCGACGCAGGCACGAATCGACCCCTGCCGAACAAACATCATAATTCAATTTCTAAGGTAACCTGGTACATGTTTCCAGTCTTACGTGATTGGGGGTGTTCGGGTTTTCGGGCAGGTTGTGCCTCCGGGGGCTCTAATAGCTTCCCCCGCCCAGTGCAACAGACCGTCCCGGTAGGAGTGTTACGCTATAAACACGCTAAAGAGACAGTATGCTTGGGGATTTGGAGGGCGAATCAATCTCTCGTGAAATATACACCGGGAAACCTATGCGAGGCGGGCGGGACAGAGCTCTTTCGGCCCCGACAGAAATGTGACATGTCTCTTCAGATTGTTAAGGTTTTAATGATATGATCTCTGATGACATAGAAGTTGATTCCTCTGATGTGGCTTTATTCCTCACATTTTGATGTATACCTTACTACTAAACAGTTACTTCGCTGCAATAATGCTGATATATTACAGTACATGTACAGAGTACCGATACAGAAATAGCCCGATACCCTAGCTTACGAGTCTTTTAAACAAATATGGCACATAGTAAATCTCCCATGATCAGCCCTATCAAGATCAGTTCTCATGTAACATACTATAAAATTATTATTTTTTACACTGATGATATTGATAACTTATTGCTTGATATTGTAAATATTGTTAAGCTCATTTTACTGACTTATTTAGTTTTCTATATGTTAACTGTGAAATACTCACTTGTTTAGTTGTCTATTTGTTAACTGTGCAATATTTGTTTCTCTGTACAATTCAGCACTACTTTTTTAGTTGCGCTGCCACATGCTAGAGATTTTACTCATCGATCAATCAATAAACAATTATTATTATTCTGTAAAAAGGAATATAAGAATTGATATTATATGAATCAATCTGTATAATAAAATCATCTGGACTCCCAAGCACTAAGACAGTAATACTCTGCTAAGTTATATTGGATACACATATTCTGTGGGATCTTTCTCTTACTGTTGTGCATGTATTGTTTCATTAAATATATACTTTGGCATGTCTTTGGTAACTGGATGTGTTACCAATGTGGAGCTTTTCATGTGTGGATATGTGTTAATATGAATAAAGACTTCACGTAATTCACGAAAAAGAGAAGAAAAACAGAGTCTGTGCTACCTTCCTTTAAAAATATTGGTGTTTCACTTTTCTATAAAATAATTAGATGTTAGTATACCTTCTACAGCAATTAGCCAATCCCATTAAAATCAGATTTGCTTGAGAGTCCCTGACCAAAGCTAGGCACTCATATTCAGCTGAGCTAACAATCGAAATACGTGTAAAGATCCTTTCTCAAGGGTACAACACCAAAAGCTTGAGACCATCTTCGTTGATGAGAAGTACGTGGGTGTAGAAAGAAAGGTTCATCATACATGAATATCCTACCAGCTCCCAAACCTTAATTATTACTAGGTTAATCATACACGCATTGTCTACTGGCTTTCAAACCTCCACCCACGTCCACAGACGAAGAAGTTGGATCAGTCCACTTTAACTCCTCCCAAGGGAGGAACAGATTGAGGTCTAAAATTCTAAATTAATGAACACTTTTCTAAAAAAAGTTCTTTACGAAACCACTTTTTTCACACATCTTTTATTTCACTGCCATAACCTATTTGTTGTAAAAAAAAAGTTTGGTCTGCTCGGAAATCTAAACTAGTGCCTTTCCTAACCCCTTTATTCTAAGTTAACAACCCTAATGACAAGACTACCTTGCCTGCTTCGTTGATGAGAAGTACGTGGGTGTAGAAAGAAAAGTTCATCATACATGAATAGTCTACCAGCTCCCAAATCTTAATTACGACGAGGTTCATCATACACGTACCGTCCACCCACGTCCATAAACGAAGAAGTTGGATCAGTCCACTTTAACTCCTCCCAAGGGAGGGACAACTTTACGTCTAAAATTCTAAATTCATCAACACATTTCTGAAAAAAATTCTTTACGAAACGACTTTTTTTTCACACATCTTGCATTTCACTGCTGTAACCGATTTTTCGTTTTATCTTATGAACAATGTAATGAGGCCATTTTTTTGGACTTCAGTGTTCAACACCCTGTTTTTTCTATACAATACCAGACAAGACACTTTTGCGAGGGAATTTATGACGTCTGTGGACATGTCTATTCAATATTTATATCATCTCCCGGCACTGAGTCTCTATTTCGCTATTGTGGTCGGTTCTCTCTGAAGACAAGTCGCTCGTCGAAGCCTCACTGTAAGTACAGAATGTCTGAATTTTTCTTCTCCATATCTCCATATCACCTTACAGTAGCACTCCAATGTGTAGGTAATGTTAATGTGTTATGTTTGGTAAGGTAAGGTAATGTAATGTAATTTGTTTGTAATTCTTATGAGGACTCCAGCTGTTATGTAGTGTGTTGTAATTTGAACACGACACTACTCAACATGGTAATGTAACTGTTAAGGCGCATCTATAATTTCCCCACAAAGAAAGAATTGAAATCTATGAAGATGAACCTCAAGTTCATCGAGTATCATGTTGCATATCGGTAAGCATTTATGCGAGGAACCACTAAAATAATTTTCAGTGAATCCAACATGTCAGCTACAACCTCAGCTGGAACAACACGTGCTCCACGCACTGATAATGAGTTACTGTTTAGACAACCCTATATTTCCACCATAAAGAAATAACTGAACATTTGAGACATCAAGTTAGCAAAGAAACATGTAATATACTACTATATGAGGAACCGCTTAACAACTTCAAGTAAAAGCAAAACTTAAAAAAAAAAACAGTCAGGACAACACGTAGTTCAAACTCATGATCTCAGCACTGACATGAATTGTCTGGTATCAGAAGATGACTCGCGTGGGCTGCTTCATCTACATAAAGATGTTTGGATTCTGTCTGACTTTTTTTCCAGTGGTCTTTACAGTGCACATAGCGATACAGCTGCAGGTATGAGGATAGAAACTGTTTAAATGTGTGTTCTGATAATCAAACTATAGCAATAAGCAAAGACTAAACATGATCATCACCATCGCTGCATTTCAACGTAGAACATCAAGGCAGACTGTAGCATTGTTATAATGTTCGTAATTATACATATTCACATATTCAACGCTGTTGAAGTAAGTTTTACTATTTGAATGCAGGATTACTTTGTTTTCGTCTTATTACTTACTATATTTAGAACTAAGCAAAGGAAATCTTGGAGCCATGGCTAAAAATATGCCATCCAACACCGTACCAAAAGCAATGGTCGTTAAAAACGAGTCCTTCGGCGAAGGTATGGCAAAACCAGACACAGGAACTGTGCCACCCACGTTCAGGCAAGCTGCCGAAGGTGACAGTCACCGCATCTCTCGTCGATGTGAGGGAAATAAAGACAATGACAATGAAAATCTGTCCGACACCAGCGATGCTGCTGCTGAGAACAGTCAGACAATCGATATCGGCCATGGTGAGTTTGATACCTACGCCATTGCATACATATGCAAAGAGAAGGCTATTCGCATGAAGAAAGCCGTGGAAGAGACTAAAAACAATACTGAAACTTTCAAGGCAAATGACAGCAACATGCACACACAAGCCAGGGATCCGAATCCGATGTACACACAAAATATGAACCCTCAACCGATGGACACCGAAAACGACGTTAACCCCAATCCGATGTACCTGCAAAGCAGCCCTGGACCCACCTTCAAGTCAAATAAGAGTGATGACAATCCCTGCACCCAGACATCAGCTGATACACATCAGCAAGCCTTCTCCAGGCCAGAGGCTAACAACGATGACAACCATTGCCTTCAACCATATGCTGTAGCACGTTACCAGGACGATGATGAGGCATCATCTTTGAAAATGCCAGGAGACAATGAGGGCCATCCATGCATTCAACCAGATGCAGTTACACATCATGAAGATGATAAAATTGCCATAGAATCAGGTAACTGTGGTGTCGTCCAGCCGTATACCGTTCAATACGAAGAAGATGAAACATTCGGTGAGTCAGCAAACAATGATGTCAATCCCTGCATCCAACCATATGCAGTTACCCAACAAGAAGACCAGGAGCCCTCACTCAACTGTGATGACGGCCAGCCTTACGCTGGGAAATACCACCAAGATGACGATAGTACTAGTGGCAGTGCTGCGTCTAAAAACAGACATACATCCAGTATCGCATCTGAAGATGAGGTCATTCAACCACACGCTGCCGCATACATGTGCCAGGGTGACGTGGGGTGGAACACAACTTCAGGAGACACTCAAGCAAGCCTGGACACCCAGAATCAGAATCAACCAACGGCTGCTTCAAATAGCATCAATGATGTCTCGACCAGCCCGTCGAGCAATGATGTTCTCCATGCACTAGATCCAAATCCGATGTACGCGGCCGCAGACATGGTACGGGGTGACGTGGGGTGGCACACAGCTTCAGAAGACACTCAAGCAAGCCTGTCCTCCCAGAATCTACCAGCGGCGGCTTCAAACAGCATCAATGATGTCTCGACCAGCCCTTCGAGCAATGATGTCCTGCATTCACTCGATCCGAATCCGATGTACGCTGCCGAAGACATGTGCCAGGGTGACGTGGGGTGGAACACAGCAAGCCTGTCCTCCCAGAATCTACCAGCGGCGGCTTCAAACAACATCAATGACGCCAACGATGTCCTGCACGCACTCAATCCAAATCCGATGTATGTGCCAAACGTCCAGCAGCCTGCAGCACACGGTAAGAACTTTATCAACTTCATAAACCTCTTGCTGGAGAGAAATCTTGGAATTCTTTATTGTCATTGGTAATGTCTCTTTCCTGTTTTACACGCCTGCTGAGTCCATTTCCCTTGTTGACACAACGCCCTAAAACCATTTACATGTATTTCAACAGATCTGCTGTTATCTGCAATATTTCAGGTGATTAGTAATTATCCTGATGAAGGCGACAGTTGAAAATGTGATCTCTATGTACTAATTGTTGTTGGAACAAAGTTCCAGCATTTCACTATGATTACTACCAACATGATATTTCAGGCTGTACGCGTTGCCGAGTGATCCTTGCAGTTGAAGCGACTGTCGTTGTTGGGTTGTTCATCGTCACGGTTGTCTTTCTCTGGTTATTCTTAAGCGCCAGGCTGTCACAGGTACGCTTCTGTCTTATTATAGCCTTGTCAATTTTTTCATCATTTCCTGAGATAACCATCCGTTTACTTTACCCGTATACTTTATGCTGGTAATTGGCATCACTGGCAGTATACATTTTGTACATGTACCTTGTAACTTAACCCTATCTAGACAGGGGGGGGGGGGGGCTAAAAGTGCCCGCGCCAACATTGATGTCACGTAGCGTCTGAACGGCTAGCGCTAGAACGACCAAACTTGGTGACTTTTCCTAAAATATTGTTTGGCAACAATTCTGTATCATTGGAATGAGATAATAATTTTTTGTATTGCCATGGCAACGGGTTTCTGGCAGGCATTTAGTAATTCTAGTTTCAACAACAGAATTTTATGGGTTTTATGTCATGTTACACATGGTTTCTAATATTAATAATCCCATATAATTTTATGTAAATTTCATAATTAAAATGCATAATTTATGCCAATTTGATGACGTCATTGGCCAAAATCCAAGATGGCGGACCATATCATTAGAACAGGTATATACAGGTCATTTTCCTTAAAATTTCATAAAAACTTCCATTTCCTTTTACAAAAAAGGTTCATATGAACGTCTTTAGTCTGTTTACAATGTATAATAGGCTTTATCCTGAAAAAAACTATTTTTGAAAATTCAAGATTGATGGTCCAAAATGGCGGATAGCTTAAATATGTATGACGTCATTTTATGACGTCACCGGTGTTGCTATGGGCAACGTAAGACTTAGTACACCCTGATATTCTGTCATAAGCACTTTTGGTAAAGTTATGTTATATACCATTTAGTTTTCTGGAATAACCTATTTAGACGGTTTTGGCCAATAAAATCACATTTATGACGTCATAATGACGTCATATAACGTTTTAACGACATTCAAATTGTAGATATAATAAATGTTTACTAGTACACGATCCTCTGAAAATTTTGTGGTCATACGACATACCGTTCTCGAGTTCTAAGGGGGGGAGGGGTCAAATGAGCCCCTTCCCCCGTCCCACCAAGCTCAAAAAAGCCCGGTCTAGATGGGGTTAAGTCTAGGCAGATGAAGTACAGTTCAGTAGATCACTCCTACCCTCCTCTGAGTGTATAGTGAACGAGCCCAGGAATGTATATCATCACCCAGCAAGGTTTTCCCAAGGGTTTTCAGGAATTTGGACTGTGTAGGACTGTCGTCATAGATGTGTGTCAGCAAAATTCCAGACAAGCCTGTAGAAAAAATTTCTGTCAATTCCTAGAATTCTTGCAAACTGCACACAATACTGTACCATTAGGATCCCCCCTTAGGCGTCGCCAAAAAACAACAACAAACAGCTGCTCTATACACACAAGGTTTAACCTTTTCGTATTGTTGCTTTGTCGGTGAGGTATCAATTCCAGGATACTTTTAGAATAGGCAGTTATTCCTTATTATATTGTACTTATTCCAATATTAATATAATTTGGTGAAAAAATTCGTTGACATCGGCCCGCAGCTATCAAATTCAGACATGTTTCAGATAATTTACCATGATCTCCATAAACCAATTGCGATAGCCTATAATGACAATATAATCCTCTATCAGCAGCAGACAGCTAATGCAACTACTACTACTGCTACTGCTACTACTACTACTACTACTACTGCTGCTGCTGCTACTACTACTACTACTACTACTGCTGCTGCTACTACTACTACTACTACTGCTGCTGCTGCTACTACTACTACTGGATGCTCATGCTCAATCCCCAAGCTCCCGGCAGTCTGCAACACCCCATATTACAAAGGTGAGTCTAACATGAATATTCAAGAGACAATGTCTTAAACTTGGTCCCTCTGTGTCATTACACAATGTCTTAAACTTGGTCCCTCTATGTCATTAGACAATGTCTTAAACTTGTTCCCTCTGTGTCATTAGACAATGCCTTAGACCTGATCTCTCTGTGTCATGAGGCAATGCTAGGATATTGGATTGGACAATGAACAAGATTACTTCTTATGGTGAGTAAAAGAAGCTATAGGATATGCATCAGGGCCCATGTGTGTGTGTGCCTGTGCGTGTTTGTGTGAATGTTTGAGCGTGCGTGGCGTGTGTAAATGTAAATGGTTTATATTTTAGTTTGAAAAATACTTCTTTATCACTCACGGCAAAAGGTGGTGACGTAAAGCAGAAGAAGATCACGTTTGGTGGGATGGGAAAAGAACCTGGAAAATTCCTGGGGATCAAGGGAACAGCCGTGTCTGCTGACAATGAGATATTTGTGACTGATCAGTCAACCAAACGAGTCCAGGTCTTCAGTATAAAGGGGGCCTTTCTCCGCCTCTTTCCAACAGTCGTGCCAGGTGAAAGTACGAGAATGCGCCCTTATGGTGTTGCTAGCGACGTGGAGTCTGGCTACCTGTGGGTACTGGGGAAGAGCTCGCGCTCCAATGGACATGTTGTACAGTACAGTAAGAACGGACAGCCCATCAAAAAGTTTGACCTAAGCCTCAAGAGCTTCTATCCCGTCATCGCGATGGACGTGCGCAACAATAAAGTTATCGTGGGAGACAAAACAACCATTATGACGTTTGATCCAAACGGATCTCGCATTTGGAGTTCAGAAGTGCCTACGGAAGAGGCGATCATAGGAGTCACATCGGACAATGAGGGAAATGTCCTGCTGACGGATTGGCATAAAAAGGTCTACAAGTACAATCCCTCCGGAGTAAAGATATTTGAATTTGGCACCCGGGGAGACTCTCTCAGAGGCATTTGTCTGGACACCTCTGGTCGCGTCATTGTGGCGAGCTTGTTTAACCACCGGGTAGACATGTTCACAAGCCAGGGCGAGTTTGTCCACACCATCGCGAGCATTGAATGCCCACGGGATGTCGCTATGGGACAATGTGGAGATTTGGTGGTGACTAGTTCAAATACAAACACTGTAACTATCTTCCCACGGCACATGGTGCTTCCTTGAAGCCCGAAATTGTGTTCGCTTTATGGTTGATTTTGTTATCTCTGCACGACTGATTCTCTTTTGTTTATGTACCATACATATTTTATTATCAAATGGTGTCGTATAACTTAAGCCCACACGGGCTGGGCGCGGGAAGCCTCATTCATTGTAACGCGTACATTGTCAAAATTGTTGTCTTTGAGATGAAATTTACGAATTTTAGTGCACAAAATGGTACTGCAGATGGTCAGGTCCAGACCTGCACCTAAATACGTCAGTGAAGGTTAGACATCCAGCTAATAAGATGCGCCAAAAAGTGTGAAATTAACAAAAGGTAGTAGTCCATGGGCCGAGACCGTTTTTTGTACCACCAAGACGGACCAGTGCTACCATAGATTTTTTGAATCTGCAATTACCAAAGTTTATTTTGATGTAAGATAGCAAGTCTGTGTGAGTAGCTTTCTTGGTGTAATCACGTGACCAAATGACGTCATCAAAATGGACCCCGTGCCTTGGGACTAAATCCAAAGGGCCGGGAAAAAATATCAAACATCAATAATTATCGGCGAAAATTGGTTTGTAGACAAAACATGCCACAGTAATCACACGGCGGTCTGTCACTACGGCATTCTTTCCCATTGCTATGCGCGTTCGAAAAGGTATCGGGTTACAAGACGCTATTTTGGCCTGTTTTGGACTACCCGTAAAATATTTGAAAATACACAAATAATATTTAGGGGTAAATTTCGTCAAATTAAAATGAAATTATCGTCTTAACATCCTTTAAATGTTAGCTTTTTATGTTAAATCAATGATTTTTTAAATTTCGCTCAGAAAGACGATTATTTTCGGGTTTCCGAGCACAAGTCATATCACGTTTTTAGGCAAACATCGTTCAAACCTGGTTACGTATATTACCCCCAGATCCCCGATTTTTATATTTTTATGTTGGAAATTACAGCGCAAACTTGCTTTATCTTGGCTTCTACCAACACAGATGAACTTTCAAAATGTGTGATTTGTTAGCTGGAGCTTGTGCTCTGTGCAGCAGCTAGTAGTGTCTCCAGCATCCCCAGAGTGTTTAACATAGTCATGACTTCTACCAACACAAAAGAACCTGAAAATTTTCTTTAACTTCTACCAACGCAAAAATAATCTGATGTGGAATGTGAATAAAACCTGGGGGCTACGACACGTTATCTTTTCCCTAGCGTAATCAAAAATCATTCCGCTCTAGTTTTTCAGATAATTGCGCAATTCTGGATTGTCCACGGTTCCTGATATTCGAAAAATTTGCCAATAACGCTTTTGAAATCTTCACATTATTGATCATAATTGCTTTTTTGCGCTTCTTTAACTAAAAAAAAATAAGGTCAATAACCTGGACTGGAAGTCTGTCACCACAGTAACTGGTGTTGTGGTAGATTAGTGGTGTTGGGTTACATTACGAAGTAGGACAGAGTTAAGAGGCCGGTCATCATATATGGATGTGGTTGACTAAGAATAAACGGAGTAGTTTGTTTGTAGACCACCTTATTTTTCTTTTTCCTGCAAGCTAAACATGGCAACAACAGGACACAGGTCTCCCACCGGAGTAGTTAAGAACGGTTTTGATGAGTCTCCAACCGGAGTTTCCCAGGTAGCCTATGACAGCAAAATAGGCAATACTGAAGACCAGATGGCAGCACAAGCTGACATGAAGCCTTACATGTGTGGGAAATGTGGATACAGAACAACTTGCAAGTCTCACTTATCCGTACATATGAGAATCCATACAGGAGAAAAACCCTACAAGTGTGACCAGTGTGACTATTCTGCTGCACAAAAAAGTAACTTGGATCAACATCTAGCAAAACACGCTGGTTAGAAACCCTACATGTGTGAGGAGCGTGGATATAGAGCAACTCATAAGTGCCACGTATATCGACATATGAAAACTCATACAGTAGAAAAACCCTACAAGTGTGACCAGTGTGACTATTCTGCTGCACGGAAATCGGATTTGGATAAACATCTAGCGAAACACGCTGGTGAGAAACCCTACATGTGTGAGGTGTGTAGATACAGAGCAACCCAAAAGTGCCTCTTATCTACCAGTGTGGCTATTCCGCTGTACCTTGGTCAAGCATCTGGCGAAACACACTGGTGACAAACCCCACATGTGTGGAGAGTGCTGATACAGGGCAACTGATAAATCTACCTTGTCCCGACATATTAAAACACACAAATGCACAGAAATGTACCTTGGACAGACATCTAGCAAAACATACTGGTGAGAAACCCTACATGTGTGGAGATACAGGGCAACTCAAAGGTCTCACTTGTCCCGACATATTAAAACGCACACAGGAGAAAAACCTCACAAATGTGACCAGTGTGACTTTTCTACTGTACAGAAATCTACCCTGGACAAACATCTAGCAATCAAAACACTCTGGTGATGAGAAACCCTGCATGTGTGGAGAGTGCGGATACAGGACAGCTCAAAAGTCTAACTTGTCTCAACATATAAGACACACACAGAAGAAAAACCTCACACACAGACACAAATGTGAAATGCCAGAAGTGTAATCATCGTAGGTATGGTCACTCACTCAGTTTTAGGTTGACCTGTGGGTGAAACCATTAAACCAAGGAGGTTATGGGGATGTTTTACTTATATTAGTGTTCTTAGCGTTAGATACTAAATTTGCACTTATATTTGGGTAACGTCAAATGCAACTGACAAGTATTGTCCTATGTTTGGCTATCTATAGATTAACCGTATTTAAATGCACATTATATACATATAGTTATTCAATTAACAGAACAAGGTTGGAAAGGACGATGATGATGAAAACAAGGTTATAAAATACGCTTCGAACACTGACTTGTACATTGACCAATAGATGACGGGAAAATGGGAAAGAGCGGTTGATACATGTAAACTTCGGACCCTTAACTTGAAATACCTTGCGTAATATTCTTGACATGATGTTAGTCGGTCGTGGAACTTGAAGAAAGCTTACATCAAAACCAGACGAATTGTGTTGTCTCAACTGTCCGAGATGTGAGCTCTTTATAACGTACTCCCAGTCATCCCAACCCAGTCTCAATTCCAGACAGAAAAGTTCGTTCAAAGGTATTACTTCATTCCATTGAGACGCTGGAATGATTTTCTTTGGAATGGTCTTTAAACTCTGTATGTATCCCTCATGTAAGATTGACTAATACTGTTTAACTTCTTCTACTAAAATTTGAAAATGACGGAGTTCTGTACATATTGTACATATTGTAGTCCACTTTGCTCCATTGACGGTGCTTTCCTACAGTTTCTGTTGAAACCTGTGCGTTTTTGTACGAATATGATCTGGATCGTCTCAGTCCTAAATACAAAATGTCCACAAGATCCCAACAAAGCAATCGCTTTAGTAAAATCAACGATTCGTCAAAATATTCCACGATCATCACAAAGTCAAACTGAGTCCTGACGGTCTCTAGGAACTCTTAAACGACGTTTTCCTGATCTGACAGATGGACGGGGAATCCGAAGTCGTAGGACTGAAAGTTCCGGGTGTACATGAAAGGACGGAGGCTGTCGACGTCGGATGAAAATCTCGTCTCATAGGACATGGGGCTGTCCAGGAATCTAGAAATGACGTCACTTCCGGGGCGCGAGATAATGTTGTATTTTTGTTCCAAATGCCACCAATGGAAGACCGACTTGAGATGGCTAGAGAGAAATGGGCGAAAATAATATTTTATGGCTACATGTATTAAATGACTCAATATTTGATAACCCATAAAAAGTTACTGTTTCCTACATGTACATGTACATGTACGTTCTATCATAAAACGTGTCTACTTTCAAGTCCGTTCAAACATTAACGTTAGTGGACTCTATATACACTCACAGTGTTTCTTTGAAAAATAAACTTGAATATAAACTTGAAATTAGACAAGATATGTAAGAAAATGTCAAAGCAGGACATGTTTAAACACTTGATACTCATGTTTTGCATACTGCATATCCTCTTGTGCATTTAGCCCATCTGGGCATGAACATGCAACAAAAGATTCATATATTTTATCAGCCTATCACTTTTAGTACTATCGATGGGCCTGTATACCTAGATTCGTGTTTCTCAATCTGTTAAACTTACAATCTGACACGTGTTTTTAACCTGTATTGATTAAAGATTTTGTACCTTATGGGTTCTCTCGAGATGGCGATAGAAACAGTGTCGTCAGGCATCAATGTGCGCAATATCCTGTCATCATAAACCACGTGATCACAAAGTATGTTGTAACTGCCAGTAGGTGACGGAAGGATATCTTGTGGTTTCATGTGATGCGGCCAGCCTATGTAGTCCCTGTAATCGGAACGTCGGCGCCCTGCCGACCTTGCCATGACGTAGTGGTTTTTCTTGTTTCAAACGCCCCAGGTCGTCTGCGCGTGACGTCACATCCGCCTTGCTGGTTGTTTGTACATGTATGATAGTAGAGTCTTTCAATTATAACTAAATATGCATGTTTTTGTGTCAATGGCAGACATTGTTGTTTTAAGAAAATGAACTTTATCTAGAACCATGCTCAGGCAAGGTCTACGCGTATTCAGAACCGTGCCTGGGGCAAATCTACTTTCCAAGCAGAGGTTTTGGGTTTGGGGTTATTACCTCCTTGAAAAATGGAGGTATTGTTTTTGGCGTGTCTGTCTGTATGTCTGTCTGTGTGTGTGTCTGTGTGTGTGTCTGTCTGTGTGTGTTTCCGCAACTTTGTGGTCAGCATAACTTCAGAACGCTTTTATGGATTGCGATGATATTTGGTGTGCTGGTAAGTCTTGGAAAGACAAAGGTCAAGGTCAAATATGGGCCTCCTGGTGGATGACCTTGGTACTGCAGCAGAACTTCCGGTTTTTGTATCTTTTGTCCTGAACAAGCTATGGTCTTGACTTTTTGGTGATAGATAGCTTATCCTGTCAGCAATAAGTGGTGTGAGTTTGGTCCCCCTAGCAGCTTGTTCTGGAACTGCAGGGGACTTTCTGGCGAAACCTTTAAAAGCCAATAAGTCCATATAGGAACAACGTATTTTCATGATATTTGGTGTGTAGGTAGCTTAGAGAGAGATGTACATGATTAAATGCAAATTATGCAAATGAGGACTTTATTTGCATAATTAATGAGGAAATTCTATAATTACAGTGTTTTACATTATACTACTTTCATACATGTAATGTATGTAACCTATGGCAGGCAGAACATCAACAGATACTAATTATGCAAATGACGACCTAATTTGCATAATTTATGCAAAAATTCTATGATTTCTTAATGGTGAATAATGGGAATGTCATACTTGGGACATCTGTAAGTTAATCAAAAGTTAACACACATCACGATGCATATATCATGTTAATGCGGAGGTAATTTGCATAATTAAAGAGGAAATTTACATTAACATATGAAGCCCATATTTCATGGAGGTATGAGATCTCGGAATTCTTGTTTTTGGCGTGTTTTTAGGCTTTTTTTATCGGGGCTTCTCTTTGCACCTAATTTTTTTTTCACCAACCCAACCTCTTCCGGCACTCACCTCGGGCCGGTTGGGTTGGGTGAAAAAAAAATTCCAGTGTAAAAGAGAAACCCCGCAAAAAAGCCTAAAAACACGCCAAAAATTAAACCCAAACTTTTGCAGCTGCTTGAAGAGTAGGACAAATCTACCTTTTCTTACCCGATGGGCGTCCAGAAGCATGCCTGATCCGGGCAATGACCCATTGAGGCACAAATAGCAATACCACAGAACTAGGTAGGCGATGTTCTGGGCATATAATAAACATTTGTTTTTGTTTTTATCATTTTATATCTAATGACGGGAAAAGAATTCGTTGAAAAATTTCCACATATTGGAATTTGGATGATTGAGGCTGCTACAGCCCTGTGCTTTCAATCACCTATGCTACTTCAAATTGAATTCGAACTAACATCTTGTGGAGGACAAATTCAGTTGTCACAGGTCTGGCTAGTAAAGTGCCATGATGAACCTAACGAAGATAGAACAACAGCCATCCTTTATTGTTTGCCTGGTGATCTTTAAACACTACATCATTTTGAACAATAAGAGCAGAATTAGGCATTGTTGTGGCCTTGTAGTTTCATTACTTATGTGTTGATTTATAGTCATTAGGTTTTACCTAGGAGAAGGAAAACATGCTTAGTCTCTCTTTCTTCTCCAAACAAATAAGGTCAGTTACCTAGACAAGACGTCTGTCACTATGGTAACTGGCACCTAAAAAGACAATGTATGGCATTGGATTACATTATGTACATGTACAGGGGCTACATTTTCACCACATATAGGTATGTGTTTTGAGTAAGAATAAACAGGCCAGTATTTTGCATTTTTTAGACCATGTTAAGGTCAACATTATGTATTTGCTTTACAAATAATTGTACTGTACATACTAGAAGGTCGTTGATCCAATAAAACAGCAATAAGTAATAATGGGATCTATACATCAGCAAGCTAACGTCGAGTTGGTACTTACTTTTAAAAAGTGAAGGAAGGAAAAAAAGCTGGAGGAAAAAAACAATGTAATGTTGCCTGTATCGACTAAATGTAACATGGTTTATGCCATCAAACATGCTTATAGCTAATTGTTTGTAAAAGCTATAGACGGTAAAACATTTCTGTTGAAATTTTTCAGTAGCATGCTACGAAAAGATAAGTATTAAAATTACAGATAACTAGGAAAAATTGAAACTGAATGACCACTATTAGTCACTACCAGCTGCCCTTCCGGTCCCACGGCCACGCCTTCTACCCGGAACTCAGTTTTAACGGTCCGGACATACTCGCCGTGACGTGTGAAAACTTGTACCCTCTTTCTCCCACGGTCCGCCACGATGATGTGACCCGAGCTGTCTGTACAGATGCCACATGGGGACCGTAGCTGACCCTCACCTATTCCCTTACCTGCAAACTTCAGCAGAAACCTCCCGGACTCGTCATACATGTAGACAAAGTGAGAGTCCCAGTCCGACACAAGAATGTTCCCTTCCCCGTCCACAGTGATGTACCGCGGGTCTCTCATCTCACCCTGTGGATGTCCGAACCTCCGCACCAGAGAGCCGTCCGGACGGAACACCTCAACTTCCTCACGGTCTGCATCAGTCACCAGGATGTGGTTATTGCGCATGTCCACAGCAATATTAATCCCGCGGTTATAACGAAGCCTGCTCCTCTGAAGGTGAAACTGTGTCATGGCGGTCCCGTCCGTGCTGTATTGTACAACATGATGGGCTGATTCACCTTCCCCCACTACCCACAGTGTGCCATTGCTGTCCATAGAAACATCATGTGGCTCCATGTTCTTGTCCTCTGTACCCGGTACGACTGTTGGGAAGTGGCGGAGGTAAACCCCCTCTGTGGTGTGGACTTGAACTCGCCCATTGTTTTTATCAGCAACAAATATTTCGTTGCTAGGCGATACCACAACGCCGCGTGGGTACTGAAATTTACCGGGTCCTGATCCCTGCCTGCCGTAAGTGATCTCACGCTGGCTGAAGTCTCCAGTAGTACGAGATGCGCCTCCCTCTGTCCCTATTAACGGTGAGTGTGTCTGTGTAGCTACATCTGCCTTCTCGACCTGTGGCCAGCCACCAGGCTGCTTCTCTCCCCTGTACTCCTGTGACCAGCCGCCAGGTGGCTTCTCTCCCCTGTACTCCTGTGACCAGCCGCCAGGTGGCTTCTCTCCCCTGTACTCCTGTGACCAGCCGCCAGGTGGCTTCTCTTCCATGTACTCCGTCACGTGAGAGGTAACTTGCTTGGCGGCTTTCTCCGCGAATTCACAGGCCTGCTGGAGCTTCTTTTCAAGAACTGCGTTCACCTCAAGGGCTTCCGTCAACCTGTTCTGTGAAATGGTCAGTTTGGAGCGCAAGGTCATGAACGTGTTGGAATCTACTTCTGCCTTTTGAATGAGCTGCTTCATCTCTTGTTCTCTGAGCTGATCCTTCTTCATCTCTTGTTCTCTGAGCTGACCCTTCTTCTCCATCTCTTGTTCTCTGAGCTGATCCTTCTTCTTCATCTCTTGTTCTCTGAGCTGATCCTTCTTCTCCATCTCTTGTTCTCTGAGCTGATCCTTCTTCTTCATCTCTTGTTCTCTGATCTGATCCTTCTGCACCAGAGCCTGGACCAGACTATAGGAGAAGCCCTGGTACTCCAGACTCGCGGCTACCTGCAGATGGAGGGGCAGGGCATCCGAGAACAGGTTCAGAGCGGACAGGCGGGTCCAGTTGCTGGGCGCCCTCTGCCGCTTGGTGCGGGGAATGCAGCCAACCTCGATGTCATCAACTGTATGCTGTTTTGTAATATCTGTCAAATAAAATTGTACATGTATATTATTATCGTTATTTCACATGGGACTCAAACCAGATCGTATTCTAAATGGAAGCCTAAATAGTTGTTACTTGTAGAAAGCAAAGTCTGTCGTTGTCTTTTGTAAGTATGTGGAATAAATGTGTGAATATGTACTAAATGTCCAGGTTTACATACTGTTGACAACCGCCCCCTGTGCGACTTCGATTGGTGCTTCAGCGTCGATCTGCAGTGACGTGACGCCCATGAATACAAGTCTTGGGTCGGAGTAACTCGCCATGAGCCTTAGCACCGCTGTGCTCTCCCGCGGTATGGTGAAGTGCACCAGGATGCTTTTGTGTTTCTTGTATCCTCTGAACTTGACCTGTGACCTCCTGGTGCCAGCTAATCTTGCCAGGTCGTGTCTAAGACGATCTAGACTTTCCTGGACCAAACGTACCCGGCCGTGCAGGACCACGTAGGCGTTTGAGGTTGAACGTCCTGTAAGTTTCAAAAGTAATGTTTATGCCAACGACTAATTAAGAAAACACAAACATATAAAGATACTTGCAGACAAGATAAATGTCTGTAAGTTTTACCTGGGAAATTGTTAAAATCATAATACGAAAGGCAGTTTCAAAATGACACAAGATACTGATCATATTCTATGATCCCCCTGTATACATGTTGTACCAATGTGTTATAAAAACATTTTCTTACCCTCTTCATCGGTACAGTCGCTGCTTGTTCCCGGTTGAAGTTCGGGGGTCTCCGGAATCTCTCTGTCAGGCCGTTGAAACGGTTGTAGAAAATCCATGATCAGATCCTGTCGTCCGATTCTTTCCAAGATCTCTTCAACAAAGACTAAGTTCTCTCGGTCTATTCTTCGCCGCTTTTGTAGCTCCACAAATACATCAACTGCTTGCATTTGGTGGAGGTCTCTATTTGGAATCAGGTGCATACAATACAACCTCACCTCTTTTGTCTCCACGTCTGTAAGGGCCTTAGATATCTTAAGTAAAACGTCCATAAAATCAAAATGGCTTCTGTCTTCATCTGTTGGACCTGACATGCTGAAACGAAAAACTTTAACGTCAATATGGTTTGTGAAATTTTATTCATTTTACATGACGTCGTTTTCTGGACCAGTGTTGTTGCAACATAAAACTAAGCTGAGCTTGAAATTCTGAAATATTTTAGGTCAATATGGTACGTACAATTTTCAATACACTACTACAGCTTCTGTCCGTTTGTTCAAACCAACAATGATTAACAAGTCATGCGGACGAGCCGAGGGGGTGTGGCGTTAGATCATTACACTGATAGGTGCCTGCTACGGGTGTGTGTGTGGCCTTGCATCATAACACTGATGGGTGCCTGCTACGAGGGGGTGTGGCGTTATATCATGACACTGATGGGTGCCTGCTACGAGGGGGTGTTGCGTTATATCATGACACTGATGGGTGCCTGCTACGAGGGGGTGTGGCGTTATATCATGAGACGCCTTCTACAAATAATTTATATCGATCGGAATCAGTAAAAAGATGGTAATTTTAAAGCTTATTACATATTCATAAACATAGGGTTTAGGATCAAGGAACTATGCAGTTCAGTTTTTTCGTGCAAAAAGTTCTCTGCGAGTCTCTATGTTCATCAGAGGCCATAAGATTACTCTTACTATTTTGCTAACTTTAAAAGCAGTACTACAACCGTAACCATCCTAACCAATCAAGAAAATTTACTTGTCGAATATTATCAACATTTCTCTGTCATAAAACGTGCTATCTCTAGTTATATTAAGCCGTGAAGCTGCAGACATTTTTTAAGAGTATACGTAGTTTGAGCAAACAAAAATGGCGGTCTGGCTGTGCCACGTTTACAACATTCCTCACCTATAGTGTAAACTCTAACAGCAGTGAAACGTGTTGGAAAACTCACCTGTATGATTTTTCGAAGCAACCGGGACACTCACACCTTAAGATGGTACACGGAACTAAAAAGCCAGAATATCCAAAATTGACTCCCTCAGTTGTCGCTGGTTTGCGATCTGACGATTGTGGTATCAGACGTCAGGCAATATGGCGGCTGGGGAACAATGCCTGTCTGTCTGTTGGTTGTTGAACTTTGATCACTGCTGACCGTTAGACTGGTGGCGTGATGCAGTTTGTTTTCGCTCAACGCTGCTCATATGGTTATTATGATCCTCCAAATACTAATGATATTTCATACGGGGTATTTAGTCTGAAAGTACATGTATTGAGTATAAAAGAATTAATAAGGTTCATTTTTATTCCTACGCATCATGGTTTTATATAGAAAAGTGTAGTATTGATACGTTTCAATGTAGTTATTACATTTACATGTACTTTCGCATAAGGGAAACGTATTATTTTTGTCCTGGTTCTTTGCCTATTTTTCTACAAATAAGTAAGGTCAATTACAAGTACCTTCGCCTAACGGCTGTCACCATGGTAACTGGTGATGTAGCAGACACCCTGTGTTGTTGAATTACATTATGTACATGTGGTAAGTTAGAGAGGCTGGTCACCATACACATGTATTTGTATGTGTTTGAGTAAGAACAAATATAGCAGTAGACGTGTAAATGTAATCTTCATGCATTTGCTTTGCAAATGTTACATATACTATGTTTGTTGTATGCATGTCCTTTGTAGTTGTTTGTTGCGGTTTAGGACACGTCTTTGGAGACTGAATATGGTGCTGTTCCATGTGTACCAGTAAGGAGCGCTGTTGAGCACAATGACTCCAAATAAGCTCAAAGTCCTCTTTATTCATGCCACATATAGAACGGGTCCAACTTCCGTGTTTGTTCTTTCTATGCACTTTACTCAGACTGGCCTTTTTGTGGTATAAGAGGCGATAACGGTAGTTTTAAGGGATAGTAAGTGGTTGTTTAATCGCATGACCACCCGTCGTTATTGAGGACTGATGTAATTTTTGCTTGTCTATCTTTGGTGTCATTTTGCCATGTTAGACGCAATGATTTTACAAAATATGGCAGTATGATAGAATATTTCCCTCTGCTAAGAATTTTGTTGCCAATGTCAACAACAAAAAATACCCACAAGGCAATGCTGCTCAGCTGATATCAAACTAGTACTTCCCGAATACATGAATGCTTCAAGTGTTCTTAAGATTTATTATTCAAGTAGTGAATATCAAATATTGTCATTATGGAGGCAAAATTATGCTAGGCTATCTCAAGGTTTCTCAAGTTGTAACTTGTGGTAAGGTTCACTTTGTGTTTTTGATTTTTTTCCGAATGTCTAGGGAATTGTTATATCTTTTGTAATATATGTATCCAAGGTACAATAAGTAGACATTAGGTATAATAATGTCCTTGCTATAATTAAGTAGATATTGCGTATAATTAAATATTTGTAAGGAACTTGCAATTCAGTCAATAGAGAGATCCTTATTCTGAATTCATTCATTCATTCATTCATTCATTCATTCACTCATTCATTCACTCATTCAAATAGGCATAGACTATAATATCATATATTTTGACAGAGCATAGATTCTGTAATGTGCATTGAAACAAAGTGGCAGTATGAACTATCAGATCATCAATCTAAACCGAATTATCACACAAGACACTACCTGTTGGATTCTCCGTTGCCCTGCCCACGCATAGCAAATTTTTATCTCAAATTGAAATGAACTCTTTGATGTAGCCTCCAAATTCTACCCAAACTTCCATACATATACAAATGAAAAGAAAACTACTCTCCTACTCTTAACATCAGAAAACCCACAAATTACAGAAAAAGTGGGATCCTTTGTCTTCCTCTGTCTTCAAAAAAGAAGTCAAACCCAGTAGTTTTTACTAGTAGTTTCTTAGTAGTTATCAGTAGTTCTATGTGTACTAATTGTCTGGTTTATATACCATATGGTTCTTCTGTTCCTGCAATTAGACCTCGGGCATGAATTTGCAATGAACAATTGTTATAACCTTGGGGAGGGGGGTCTATTTCATGACGCATTTCCGGTGTACGTGACACAGTCCTTCCGGTGATGACGCAATGCCTGTCCCGCCCAGGACAGTATATATGAAGAAGCCACACAGGTTGCCCACACAAGCAACGGTCCCAGAGACCGAGGGACACACGACTTTCTTCTTCAAGGTAAGAAAGGTCCGGCGTTTTATATACCATTTAACCATCTTTCTGCGCATGTTAATTGCCATGCGACATGTAGATATAAAATTGTGATTTTACTGCTTTTTGATAATATTTTGATAAAACAGCTAGACAGAGAGGAAACCCTTTATGAAGTAAGGCAGGAAACAAACCCTTTCTAACGGAAGCTTGTCTATCTAACGCTGAATATGGATCGATATTACCTGCTATGGTTTTACCGTTTTTTCTAAGAATTTAAAGAGATATCACTAAGAATTCACTAAGAACTTAATATGTGACCTTTATCCTCTATTGAAAGAAAAATGCATACCCAGAGACGTTAAAACCTGTATTTATTCTACAATATTGAAACCTGTATTGTTATACGGAAGCGAAATCTGGACTCTAACTCAAAAACTAAAGAGTAGGATACAAGCTACTGAAATGCGAGTGTTACGACTCATCTATGGTGTCACAAAAAGAGACAAAATCAGGAATGACATCATCCGCGGAGCACTTTCAGTTGAGTCAGTACTCTCCATTGTGGAAAGAAACCAACTGAGATGGTTTGAACACCTACACAGGATGCCGGAAGATAGGGATGTGAAGAGAATCTTTAACTGGAAACCTAAAAAGAAAAGACCAGCTGGCTGGCCAAGAAAAAGATGGTTAAAGAAATAGCTGAAGATAGAACAGAGAGGGAAAGACTGACCAAGAGGCTGACAACTTACAGGCCTAAGGCCTAAAGGCGTCAGGGTGAGAAGGTGAGAGGTGAGAAGGTTATGGCCGTTTTGAAGTAGCCAACTGAAGAATTAACCAGAGCCTTTCCTATGAGGGAGTTGATGTCTCATATTAAACGCACAGTGTTTGATATAAACCCTTCCCTTTTGACTCAACACTTGTATTGGTGATGAGCTACAAAAGAATCTTGTTCATGGTATGTTTTTTTATGTAAAAGAACGATATATACTCAACAAAAGACTAAAAATGACTGCTTCTACCATTCCTGTCGTAACCGTTACAGAAATGTTGGGTACTTTTAATGTATCTTGTAGAGGCAAAACAGTTCAAAAGTTGATTATCCCTCAACAAATCGGCTTAGGCAAACATGTTTCGCAACATTGCGTCTTTGAACATTGATAAAAAATACTTGGTTGAGATTATTGCAATATGCTTGTGACTGTAGTGTGAACCTGTGTTTTTTTTTCTGCCCGATACAATGTGGCCAGGATACATTATTCATTATCACAACGTAACTAGAAAAAGTCAAATCGCTTCCAAAAGGAATTCTACAAATTCTTTAAAGATTCCGTCCTTGTCCCACATACACCTCAATTATCACTTAAGCGGTAAACTTTAGGTAGACCTTGATTGGCTGGAGCAGTGGGCCGAAAATATATGATGATGATGACTGCGATCCCCCTGTTAGGCCACACCGACTTAATTTTATGGATGACATCCTCTGAATTCCTCCAAACTAGTGCGCGCGGGCGAATAAAAGAAAATGAAAAGAAACCTACGGTGGGGGTCGCTGAAAGACAGACGTAGAATGTCCAGACTGTGCATGATGTACAAAATGACTAATAAACTTGTGGATGTACCAACCACTAAGTATCTGATACCAGCCCAGAAATGAACAAGAAACAGTCATGCCTTCAAATATCAGAGTTATCAACCAAGAATTGAGGTATTAAAAAACTCGTATTTCCCCAGAACTATCGTAGACTGGAACTCGTTGCCACCAAGCATAGTTGGGGCATCATCACTAGAAACTTTGAAAAACTCCTGTAATCAAATGTGCAAAGATTGAGTGTAACAAGTCGTTCGGTGTGATATAGCTAGCTGTCGCCGCGCCGCGTGCCTGTGAAGCTGATGTGTTACACCGAAGGGCGGTTGTACCGGCTATACCGATACAGATACAGATTTTGTAGACGTTATCTAAATAAATGATCTCTGAGTCCCAACCTCGACAAAACCTGTCCGGTAACATTCTAAGCTTACACGTAAATGAAGCGGCTTAAATGACGAGTATTTGTTGCATTCTTCGGTGTAACCTTCTTGCACAGTCCAAACATGTATTTAAGTCGTTTGGCATTCTTCGCAAGAGTTTTTAGAACAGAAAAACACTGATGTTCTTAATTTCATCAGGGAATGGTCGAATATTTTGATATTAAGTCCAGTATGTATCACTAGGTAATAATCTTCTTGAGTCCAAGTGACTTTGTTAATTGACAGATTTGTTTGACGATGCATGGCTGCAGTGATAGTTCGTTTTATAAGCGGGGTTTGTGTGTGTGTATGTGTGTGTGTGTGTGTGTGTGTGTGTGTGTGTGTGTGTGTGTGTGAGGGGGGGCTTTGTAGAAAACGATGTTTTTTAAAGAGCGTAGACCAACGTAGATTCCGAATAACAAAGTCAGACGAAAATCTAGAATAAGAAGCTTTAGTTAGTACTTGACCCGCATCCACTTTTCAAGCGAGAAAACGTATGAACAAGCAAACATCAAAAGCCTTGCCTTCGAGTTGCCAATTTTTGGAGTAAAGTCCGAAATCAATATATCCTAATGTTTCCAGTTGTTTTTTAGTATTAAAATGCGTTTCAAGTGCTATCAACTGGGGCACGTTAACAGTGATATGGACTTGGAATATGGTAAAATTCACAACCTTAGTGGTCTGGTACTTTATCGGACATCCATACTATTATAATGAAGAAGACAGTTCTGCTATTCCACAGCTTCTCTGAAACTTGCCCTTCGAACGCCACAAAACCATAACCATCTTTGCGAAGTACAGCAGAACATGTCTAATACGTATTTCAGGGCAAATGTTGTACTTATAGGGATACAATTCTTATTGATGACCAGACGCAATGTGGAATCATTAGCAGAAGCATTAGGGTTTCGGTAGAAAAGTGCGTGTCACAGGGGA